TTAATGATGGTCTGGGCCTGGCTGGGGCGATGGCACATGTGCCCACAGAGAGGGCTCTGAGTGCCACCTCTGGCACCCGTGCCATAGGTTCGCCACCACTGGACTATACCATGCCACATTCCCTCAGTGAAAGAGAAGATACACCAAGGAGTGAATCCTGGCCTTCAATAAAACAAAGCTGAGGACCAGAGAAGCCACTCCTTTTTGAGCATGCTGACTAGCCAAGGGCCACACCTCCTTCATATTAAATGTCCAAAGTGGGAACCCCTACTAAGACCAGAGGTGTGCCTTTTCTTTTTGGGTGATGAAAAGTCCCTAGTACCGGCTTCTGAGGTTCGATCCAGTGTCCCATTGGAAGCATCCCCCAGCCTGGTTCCATCTCTCCTACTGAGGATTTGCGCCTCTGTATGAGACAGCTCATTTGCATGGCCAAGTCCCCGGAGTTGGACATGGCACGCTTGGATCCATAGCCCTCGGATCCAGTGCTCAAAGCATTCTATTCTTCATCGTCGGGTCCAGTAGTGTTTCCTATGCTGCATGGCCTGATGGATGTTGCTAAAGGGTCGTGGGCCAAGCCTGCCTTGGTGTCTCCCTTACTGAGGAAGTTGGAGGCTAGGTATAAAGCAGCAGAAGAAGAAGAGATTGGATTTATACCCCACCCTTCAGAGCACCTTACAAACTCCTTTCCCTTCCCCTCCCCACAACAGACATCCTGTGAGGTGGGTGGGGCTGAGAGAGCTCTGGCACAAACTGCTGTTTCAGGAACAGCTGTGCCAGAGCTTGTGACTGACCCAAGGTCACATCAGCGGGTGCAAGTGGAGGAGTGGGGAATCAAACCCGGTTCTCCCAGATTAGAGTCCACGCACTTAACCACTATACCAAACTGAAGGAGGAAGGGTGAGAATTCCTCTTCATGCACCCTCTAGCCAACTCTGCAGTCCTAAATACGCAGTCCTAAATACTCTGCAGTCCTAAATACGCCCTGCCCTTCCTTGTTAGAAATGGGTTCCATACTCAACATTCAAATCTGTGTGACTTGTTTCGGCTACTCCTTCAAAAGGGAAGTTAGAATTTTGTTTTACAGAGCTGTAGAGTGTTGGAAGACCTGGTGCTCACAAAGAACTCTTGGGAGATAAATGCAGTGCAGATACCCTCCCCTCCCCTTCTGCCACTGTACCTTTCTAAGAACCCCCAGCATAGCATTTGCCTTTTTCATTGCAGTCACACACTGAGTCGACATCTTCATCCACTTGCACCTGGCTGGATGTCCTTGGGCAAGCCGCGGTTCTGATAGGAGCTGTTCTTGAAAAAGAGCAGTTTCTGTCAGGCCCACCTACTACCTCCCAGGGTGTCTGTTGTGGGGAGGGGAAGGGAAAGGAGTTTGTAAGCCATTCTGAGACACCTTTGGTTAGTGAAGGGCGGGGTATAAATCCAATCTCTGCTTCTTCTTCTTCTAATGTATTTGCAGAAATTTTTATTGTTGGTCTTTATGGCTTTTGCAATATGTTCCTCATAGTACTCTTTTGCCTGTCTGATCACCAGCTTGCATTTTATTTGCCAAAGCCTGTGCTCCCCTTTATTTACCTCACTTGGACTAGCCTTCCACCATTTAAAGGAATCCTTCTTACCTTTCACTTGCTTCCATTACTTTGTTTGTTAACCATGCAAACCTTTTTTTATACCTATTCATACCTTTCCTAACTGGAGGCATACATTGTATCTGAACTTCCAGTATTAAACAGTCTCCAAGCTTTCTGATTTGACCCTCCTTACCTTTCCTTCCAGTTTCTTCTTCACAAGCCCCCTCATTTGAGATAAGTTACCTCTTCTAAAGTTAGACGTTGTTGTGTTGGTCTTTTTGGGCAACTCCCTATTTACATAAATGTTAAACTTAATAGCATTATGGTCACTGTTCCCAACTGGTGCTATCACGTTTACATCTCTCACCAGGTCTTGAGCATTACTTTGGACCAAGTCCAGGATCGCCTCCCGCAGTAGGTTCCGTGATCATCTGCTTCATGGCACAGTCATTGAGAGTATCTAGAACCCTTGAGGTGAAAGTGGCTGACCTGGAGAAGCAGAGACAGTCAGTTAGGCATCCAGATAGACTCCTGAGGACTTGTTAGATGTGTCCACTCTGAGAATAGCAGTCCCATTGCTGTCAGAGAGCATGAGGGTCAAGCGGAAACAGGGCATCGTGCTGAAGAAAGGGGGAATGTTTCCTCAAAAGGGACCCCTTCTACAGTTGGTGAACTCTTTTTGCATCAAGGAACCATCCCTGGGCAGGGAGGGAGGGGGGCTCTTGGTAGCTGGTGATTTGATCCTTCAGCATTAGACAGATGGGCTGCAAACCCACATACTGACTGCATGGTGACTCTCCTGCCTGGTGTGAAGATAGTCTAAATAGGTTAGTAGACAGTGTTGGGGAGGAGTCAGTGGTCATGTGGTACATGTTGGCACCAGTGTTCCCTCTAAGCTGAGTTAGTGTGAGCTAGCTCACAGTTTTTTAGCCTCCATCTCACACATTTTTGTCTTAGCTCAGGAAGGATGGCTCCAGAGCAAACTAATTTAGGCAGGAGCCAAATCGCTCGCTCACAACTTTAATGCCAGTAGCTCACAGAGTAGAATTTTTCCTCACAATACTTCACAGCTTAGAGGGACCATTGGTTGGCACTAACAATGTGGGGAAATGTAGTTGTGTGGTCCTGGAGGAAAAATTTACGCTGGTAGGCAAGGGGACTCAAGGTCAGGACCTCCAAGGTAGCCTTCTCAGAAGTGCCTGTTCCATGTGCAGGGCCAGCTAGACAGGCAAAAATTAGGAGTCTCAATGCGTGGATGAGACGAAGGTGTAGGAATGAAGGGTTTAAGTTCGTTAGGCACTGGGATGCTTTTTGGAACAAGCAGGACCTGTAGAAAAAAGATGGCCTCCACTTGTCTGGAGAAGAAAGCAGGCTGCTGGGTAGCAGAGCAGTTTTTAACCTAAATCATGGGAGAAAGCTGATGGCTCATTGCTTTTTTAAAAAATTATTTTCTTTATTTGGGTTTTGACAAAATAAAAAAAATAAAAAAATATTCATCTTAATAAACTACATTTTGTTGCGGAAAAGTTCCATATTTTCAAAGAATATATAATTTTCACTGTCATTGACATATCTGCCATATCATTTAAGTATGTTTGTTTATATATATTGGGATGGCTTATCCCTAAGAGATGAAGAGATAGCTGTTACTGTTCTAGAGGAAAGTGGATTAGGACTGGCCACTGAGAGGGTGACAAACAATACTGACTGCCTGACAAGGTCTAGAGGCCACAGAAGGAAGGAAGGTTGCAGGCCTCAGGTGTCTGGAGAATTATAGATGCTTATATGCAAATACTACTAGTGTCCAAAGTAAAACAGAAGAGCTGGAATGCTTAATGACAGAGGAGAACATAGACACTGTGGGCATTTCAAATCAGTGGACTACAGTGATTCCTGGATATAAATTATATTGGAAGGATTGGGAGGGAAGGGTTGGAAGTGGAGTGGCTTTGTATGTCAGACAGGGCATATGGTCCAGTAAAACTGTGAATCTAAGAGAAACAAACTCACTTATGGAAACCCTATGGATGGAAATAGTGGGCCCAAAAGGAAGCTTAACTCTGGGAGGTTGTTATCGCCCACCAGACCAAAGGTTAGAGGATGATTTTTAAAAACAGCAAAAGAATTAAGGAAACCAGCTGGGGAAATTACTGTGTCCCAATAGATGATTTTAACTACCCACACACTGATTTGGGTCATAAGAACATAAGAGAAGCCAATGTTGGACCAGGCCAGTGGCCTATCCAGTCCAACACTCTGTCACACAGTGGCCAGAAATACCAGGTGCCATCAGGAGGTCCAGCAGTGGGGCCAGGAAGCCCTCCTACTGTTGCCCCCCCAGCACCAAGAAGACAGAGCATCACTTGCCCCAGAGCCCCTATCTATACCTTGTGGCTAATAGCCACCGATGGACCTCTGCTCCAAATGCTTATCCAATCCCCTCTTGAAGCCGTAGCCGCCACCACCTCCTGTGGCAGTGAGTTCCACGTGTTCATCGTTCTTTGGGTGAAGAAGGACTTCCTTTTATCCATTCCAACCCGACCGCTCAGCAATTTCATGGCGTGCCCACGAGTTCTTGTACTGTGAGAAAGAGAGAAAAGTGCGTCTTTCTCTACCCGGCTCTATCCCATGCATAATCTTGCAAACCTCGATCATGTCACCCCTCAGTCAATATGCGTTCAAGTCAGGAGAAAGAGACTGTGTTTCTGTGCAGCGAGCCCTGCTCCTAGCGACCTTACTCAGTTTGCTCAGCCGTGAAATTGCTGAGCGGTGGGGTTGGAATGGATAAAAGAGCCAGTTTGGTGCAGTGGTTAAGTGTGTGGACTCTTATCTGGGAGAACCGGGTTTGATTCCCCACTCCTCCACTTGCACCTGGCTGGATGACCTTGGGTCAGTCACAAGCTCTGGCACAGCTGTCCTTGAAAAAGAGCAGTTTGTGTCAGAGTTCTCTCAGCCCCACCCACCTCACAGGGTGTCTGTTGTGGGGAGGGGAAGGGAAAGGAGTATGTAAGCCGCTCTGAGACTCCAAGTGAAGGGCGGGGTATAAATCCAATCTCTTCTTCTCTTCTTCTTCTAAAAGGAAGTCCTCCGTCACCCAAAAGAGCGATGAGCACGTGGGATTCTCTGCTCCTGGCGACCTTACTGGAGCCGCGCTCCACGTTTTCCACCTGCACCGCAGGCAGCCAAAGGCGGGCCTCGCAGCGGCAGAGCAGCGGGGCGGGCGGGTGCGGGACAGAAGTGTCCCGCGGCTGACCTCAGCGCCGGGGAGCGGCCAAGCGGCGGGTCACGCGGCTGCCCAATAAAAGCGCGCGGCGCTCGCCCGGCCGCCGAGTGGCTGCGGAGCCTCAGTCCTGCCTTTGCGCGGTCTCGGGCGAGGATTGTGTGGGGCTAACTTGGGAAGTGCGCGGCGGCGGCGAGAAAATGCTGTTTTGGCACACGCAGCCGGAGCATTACAACCAGCACTCGACGGGCAGCTACTTGCGGTGAGTGGGTCCCAAAGGCCGGCCAGGCGGCCGTGGGCGGGGGGAGCGTGCGGGGTCCGGCGGTACTCACGGGGGAAGGGAGCAAGGCCGGGCTGGAGGGGAGCGGGTTCTCCGCGCGTCCTCCGCGCAGTCGTCTGGGAAGCTGGCGCGGGAGGAGAGACGCGCGTCCCGCCGCTCGGCCCTTCTTGGCTTGGGGTGAGCGTCCGGAGCCGGGGCGGGCGGCCGCTTTGCGCGTGGGGACGGAGAGCGCGGGAGCCGCGGGGCGACACGTGTCTGCTGGGGGTGTGTCTGTTGCGGCAGGCAGGGGGCAAGACACGGATCCAGACACGGCACGGGCGTCGGAGCGCTTTCGAGAGTTGTGCTGCAGGGTCTTGAAGTCGTGGGAATGCCGGGTCTTTGGGTGTCTTCGTCGACGCATCGTCGCGGAGGATCGCGTCCGTTTGGCCCGTGTGGATGGCGAGCGGCGGCCGTGCGCTCTTGGGCTCGCTTCGCGTCTGGAGGGCTGTCGTTGAATGCCGGCGTGGAGGATTCCGGAGGACTAGCGAGCGGAGCGGCTCCG